ATAAGGACTTTTATATTATTTATTTTAAAAAGAAAAGAAAAAGAAAAGTGAAATCGGAATATTGGCTCCCTAATAATGAAAAAAAAAAAAAAAAAAAAAAAATGAACTTTGTGCTGTGTGATCTCAGGTTGAGGCACCAAATCAGGATGTTGATGTAGTAGAGACAGATTATATGGCACTGTGGTGTGCCACCATTGGCATTGGGTACATTAAAGTATTTTGAAGGTCAACCCTTCTTTCCTTTGGCCTACCCTAAAAAAATAAAAAATAAAAATAAAAATAAAAATAAAAATAAAATAAAATAAAAATCAATTACATTTTAAAAATTAGACCTTACAAAATTGTTATATTGGAAGTCTGTCAACCGTTTCTCTCTCTAGGTTATTTCATCTATTTAATGTGGAAGGATTTATATTCCTCCTTGATGGCATGATAGAAATTTCATATGGTGTGGGATAAATAATGGATAGACAATTGATTATAAGGCAAGTGGGAAGTGGAAAACTATTTAGTGAGAAGTTGACCAGTATTTGATTAAACAAAATTAAAATGATAATAATAATAATAAAATTGGAAAGAGATAATGAAAATGACAGCTTCCCAGTAAGGGCAATAAATAATAGATGGAAAAAAAAATATAAGAATAAATTTTGTCTCTTTGTTAATTCAATATATATATATATATATATATAAAATAGAAGGAAAATAAAAATAAAAAATTGAACTACCACAACCATCTATGCCAACCATCTAAGGAGGCAAATGGCTGGATAGTCCATTGGATTGGTGCCTCCAATAAATTTTAGAATGTCATGTTTTGACTTTCTATATTTATTAATTAAACTTTTAACACTTTTTGTCTTGAAATAAATAAAATAAAATAAAAATAATTAAAAAAAATTGTAAGCAGATCCTCTTCAATTCCGAAGAGGGCCTCACATGGTGGTCCAATTGCCACTTTTTGTGGTGTACTGGCCCTCTCTACATCCAAGCACCAAATTACATTTCAACAATTTTTTTTCTTTCCCATATTTAGATTACCATTTAATGTAGTGGTAATTAACACTAACAAAATATTTGAATTTTGAGAGGAAAGAGAGGGAAAGAGAGAAGAAAAGAGAGAAAGAAAGAGGGAAGCAATACCCTACACTCGGCTATGGTGAGAAGGTTAAAAGCCAGAAAAAGAACGAAGGGAAAATAAATTATTAAAAAAGTCGTCTTGTGACGACAATGAACTCTCTTTATTAATTATTTTGAATTAAAAAAATAAAAATTTGATAACTTTGAAAAGTTAAAATAAAGATCTCTCAATCAAACAATCAAGAAGACGAACTCATCTTCTTATTATGAGAGGCTCTCTTGATAACCTGACAATTATTAAGCCCAAAGTTCCTCCTTTCACTTTCTTCCAACTGGGAGAACATGAAAGAAGAAGATAAAGAGTACAAAAGGTGTGTGTTTTGCTTCTATCTGAGTCATATGCGATTTTTTTTTAATCCTCTCTCTTTCTCCAACTTGCTTCTTATTAAACTCAACAGCAGAAGAAAATGCAGTGACACGATCAAAAATTTTTGTTATCGATATTGTTAATGACACTAACATGTTAAAGAATGTAATCAATGAACAGATTTTAGTGACTGACCTGACAAGTCAGAAAGGTAATAGGGTTTTATTATGGATAAATGCCAGCCAAGATCATGATCACCCCAAGTCAACACACGCCATATTTAAAGTTGCAGCCTCCACTTATTTTTATTTATTTACTTTTTTTGTGGCTCGTTTTGTCTTTGTCATGCAAGTCCTCACCCCGAATTTAGTTTCTGTTGTAATTCAATATATAAAGATAAGATTTGTAAATAGAGAGACCGAGGGTTGGAACTTGGAAGCACCGGAAGTCGTAATGTCTTTCTTTTTTATTATTTTATTTATTTATTTATTTTTTTCGCATAGTAAAATCTTTCGTGCTTTTCACTGCGAATACAAACTACATACCGAACCACATAAATCAATCTTTGTACCTTGTGTGGTGTATGGTTTATTTTTCTGTTGTTTTCTGATTGTGTTCTTGATTTAAGTAAACAGTGTCTGAGCAGATACTACCAATCTGTGGAGAAATTTTGGTGCTGCAGGACAGAAGAAGAACAACCGGTGGTTAGCAGAAAAGAAAACCCATCATGGTCATGGAACACAGTCTTGGAGTTAAGGAAGTACAGTTGCTAATTAATATCTGAATGCAGAACCATACAAACACAGTACAAATACAAGCTTCATGGCATGTTTGCAACCAGAAACAATAATAGACAAGCATTTATGCTATCACGCACAACCCACGTGGGTTTTGTAATATTACCATATCAACCTGCCTAATTGTAGCTGTGTCCAATTTAGTTGAGTTTGGCTCATCAATTTTCCTTGACAACTGTACTTTGTATTTACTGGGCCAACCCAACCCTTCTAAAACTGATACAACCAGTTTCCAAACTACAAAAAAACCAGCTGTGTTGTAGGAAACCAAGTCTGGTTGCAACTGCATATAGAAACAGTAATTGAATTGGACAATATGAATAATGGAAGCAACAAAGTAATCCAAGGTCATATATCCATCGTGGAAAATGACTGAGACTCCGAATGTTGGACAACTCCGATTGATTTATGTGTGTGAGGGCTAACGTCACGATGATGTCATTAATATCCCTAACATCATGTTGTTAGCCTCTACTCTACTCCGACTGATTTATGTACATGTCATTAATATCCCTGCTGATGTTATGATGATGTCATTAATATCACTGACATTAGCCTCTACTCACATAAAGTCAGGATCCGATTGTCGGACTCCCTGTCATTACTCATCCTTCATTCAAAGAAGAGCATCTAGTTATAACTTGATTTGATACTACAAACAAATTGATTTGAAAACACAGCCCATGCATGTATGAGCATTAGTACACATTGATTTATGACCACTAGAAAACTACCTGCATGAATTCAATTTTGATTGTTATGGAGGGTGGTTCACAAATGAGCCCCCTTCATTTTCTGACAAAAGATCCAGTTCATATCAATAGAATAGACTAGTCAGTCATCTTAATGTGTATGTGATCAAAATAATAGCACACGAACAAAATGTAGAACCTCAATACTATCACAATCCACCATCAGCTGTAACGTCTGTTCGAAATCGTAAAAATTTAATCATCTTTTTGTTTTTTTTCATCAAATCCGAGAATAATAATGAAGCACACGATAGATGTTTTTCACATTTGGTATGAATAAAGCCTAATATGAGGTTCTCATAATTATAGGTACAAGAAAAAATACAACATCCTGGAAATTATAATGCACTAGCAATAAGATGTTTTCCGTGCAAATTCCCACGTCACCAACTTTATTAACAAAAATGTTATACCAATCCAAATCTCTCTGAAAGGAAAATAGAAAATCAGTCGGGTGCATAAACCAAGAATCATAGGCTCTATTTGAAAGGATGGTTTAAAATGAAGGGATTTGGGGTTTAAATAACATATATATGGAAGGTTTGCTAATAGAGCTGGATTGAGTAATCCGACGAGGATAGAGACCATGGACATTGGAAAAGATGAATTTTCTTATGATCCATGTACAATTCGAATCCTTCTTAGCATGGATTTCATTTTCAAATGACTCCCTTCGCCTCGGTATATCAAATCCACCCTTATATGCTCTCAAATCCACCCTTATATGCATGTTACTGAAATATAAGCTTAAGTTACCAAATTCAAATTTAGGCTGCAGTCTTAATTCTTAAATCATAAGAACAAAACCAATTCATTTCATCCATCAGTTCAAATGGAGCCTGAGATAATTGAATATGCATTTTATTTATGCATAGAATATCACCTCGTTATATCAATTCTACCCTTAAACCAATCCATGCAATTTATTGAAATCTAAGCTTAAGCTATCAAATCCAAATTTAGGCTACAGTCCCTAAATCATAATAACAAAACCCATTCATTTCATCCATCAATTCAAATGGAGCCTAAGATCATTGAATATGCAGGCAGCTTATACCCAAACTAACCCTGCTTGATAAATTTATTTGAAAAGAGCTAAGGTGAGAGATGAAGCTGCATCCAAAAATTAGACGAGACGGGGAAAGGAAAACTACTATAGGAGAAATGGTTCAAAGATAAAATATATGGGGAAAGAAAATCCTAAAATTTAAGGCTCTACTTTTGTTCCTGAATATAATAGATGAAGATTGGGGAACAATTATACACTCTCCTCTTGTGGGGAAAATCTACTTTTACTAAAAATTTGGTTACTTTTCCTCCAGAAAAATTTCCTCAAACGAACTATAATAAAAAAACATAAAAGCCTAATGAGACATTCCCACTTGTGCTCTTGTAAAGGATGGTAATAAGGGGAAAGGGTATCCTTGTAAATGAATACAAATGGACAAACTTACCTTACAAATTGCAATTAATATAGAAGTGGGTAAGAATGCAAAAATGAAAATGTGAATTCCCCTACCATTTCTTGTATTTCCAGTAGTTTAGCTCCACATGTGAGATTATTCGAAAAAATGAGGAATGCAGTAACTGCATCGTTGATCAAGAAACAAATCCGAAGGGAAGAAGTTGGTTCAACTGAATAGGGCACCCAGCCAAAAGGAAAAAGGAAGAGGGGACTGTGGGGAGCAGGCTGCAAAAAGAATGATTCCGTTTAACTAAAATAGTTTTATTAGCAGTCAGAAGAAGATAAAACTCGTAAGCATGCAGAATATTTCAATATTTCCTAAGGGAAAAAAATCTCATGTGAAAGTACAAGACCAAATTACAACAAATTCCAAAGGTAAATTTGAAGCTCTAAAATTTCCACTTCGTATAAGAATCTTATTAGGCTGTGTGACCTGAAGTCTCTCATTACTAAATAATACAAAGCACAAATGTTGTACCAGAATCGAAGTAAAGGAACTAAAAACCTAGTAATTCTCAAACCATTTAAAACAGGTATAATAATTGTGAACAGCAAATAGTATTATTGAAAATGCTATAGCACAATTTATGAAGAAAAGATCCATCAAATAAGAACCCTAAACTAGAAATACATATAACGGGTAAATAAGCATCAGTCATAAAATAAAATAAGGAAACTGGCCAATTGGATCTCATCAAGGAAAATCCAGGCAACTGAGAAGCATGATCCCTCTGAACAGTTCAAATGATGCTTCAATAAAGCTTTTGCAAATATTCATAAAACCTAAAATGCATCGGTACTTCAAATTATTAACCTATGTGTCAACATGATAGAAACCTTGAAGAGCTCAAATGGTAACTAAATGGGTGAAGATGCAAACCAATAGGACATCATAAATAAAAGACAGAGAAATCTCCACACTTCCTCCAAGTAAATATTTATGAATCTTGAGTAAAATCTTAAATTTCCCCCCCAAAAGAAGAGAAAAACAAAGGAAGGCAGAGATTACCCACTAGCCAGAATCCTATCTCATTGAGAAAGCAAAGTTGGAACTCTCATTCAGAAAGTAATCTGCACAGTGGAGACAGTGTCACCAAAATCAGACACCTCAGCACCCCATCACGGCACAATTATAGACAAAGCTTCCTGAATGCTTGCTAGCCAGCAAAGTCCACTGCGGTGGGCCTTCATCTGGTACCCAAGAATTAAGCTCTATGATCCCTCCACCTAAAGCTCTAGGACCGCCAATAACAATAAGCCTGTCTCCGCAGGCCCTAAAGGCTAGCCCCCAACCATTCATTGAGACTGCCCTTTCCGGTAATCTCCCCACTGTAATCCACAAATTCCTTTCCTTATCATATTTTCTCACTTCCTTTTCTGCATAATAAGCCGCATATAGCTCATTTTTTACAACTGCCACCAGAGGAGGTGCCTTGGCTGTAGCAGGTGCCTCAGTCATCCCATCATCTCCATTCCGTGCAGGGAACATATTAGGAATCTCGCGCCAAGTCCTCGTATCCAAATTATACACTTCCCCACACGTAAGCAAATTTGAATTGCCTACACCAATCCCCCCAATAACATAGAACTTCCTATCCATAAACACCCCAGAGCACATTTTCCTCGGTTTATTCATGGGTGGGAGAGACACCCATGTTCCAGTGTCTGAATTATAAAGCTCTGCTGAGTTCAAGATATTGCCCTGTGGATCACAACCGCCTGCTAGAATTGCAATTTCTCCAAGACTAGCAGAACCAAACAAGCACCTGGGGGTGTTCATCTGGATACCAGATGACCATGAGTTTGTCAATATGCTATATCTGTAAATTACATGAGACATTATTTCCTTTCCAAATACAAGAAGTTCGGTACCAACAGCCAGAGATTCCTTGTCTGAACACATGAAGCATTCATTTGATGTCATTCTAGGTAAATGCATCCACCGACGGCAGATAGGATCAAAGGCCTCCCACTCAAGAAGGTTGCAAGAGAAGTAGACCCAATGTTCAACTATACCCATCTGCCGCCTCAACCTATAAAGCTCCCCAGTCCGGATAAGAGACCGAAAGCTCCGATTTAATGAGGCAATTGAGCCATAGTCCGACCGTGAGCAACGAAGTAGGCAATTAATTGAAATGTCCCGGCCAATTTGGTGGATAAGTGAACTTGAATCCGAGCGATCCCCATTCTGATGCTGGTTATCTGATTGATTGACTTGAGAAAGAGAGAGATCATGAAGACCCTGCAATGTTTCCTCTCTTTCTAGGGCATCTGACTGCTTGGATGACTTCTTCAAGGAGTCTTTTCCCTCTTCCAAACGGCGCTTACCATTTGATAGTTCAATGACACGAAATGCATTGTAAATCCACTTGCTCTCATGCTCGCATGAACTTGGCAATTCCCGCGAGATCAGATATGCTGGACCCTCCAACATGATGCCAAAATTTATCGGAAAATGCGGGAAAAAACTAATGAACAATCAATGCAATGCCTCGTGTCTCTTCCTCATCGAAATTCAAAACGAAACCGATCAGTCAACAATTCAAACCAACAATTCTCAACTGGTCAGAGCATAAAACCATCAATCCAGCTAAAATTAAGAATCTTTTGTATAGAGTGAAATCAAGAAACCACCCACCCAACTTGCAAAGCAAAATAATAATCCAAGAAAATTCTATCAGAATAAACTTCATAAAAATATGTATGTGTGTATATACATATATATATATATATATATATATATATATATATATATATATTTATAAGCTGCAACCATCTAAATCATTAAACCGATCCCAATAAAAGAATGAAAGAAATTACTAAAGAGAAAGAGTGAAAACAAAAAGTATAAACCCACAATGTAACCTTTTATCTCACAAGAGATAAGATTGTGAGATAAGAAGCATATCTCTAGGCACCAAATCCATCAATTACAAGAAGAATCCAATAAGCAAACCAAATTATCTTTAGATATTCAAGTAGACATACATATATTGATATGCATGCATATATTTATGTGTATAAATAAAAATAAGCAAGCAAGCAAGCTAGTAAAACAACCTTAGAATCACCAAATCAGATCTATGAGTTGTGACCATATCGAGAAAACACTAAACTTGCATGGTCCTGAGGTAATCACATATCAAAGTAATAAAAATGTCAACAATTTAAATCCAGTCCTTATTTTTCCTTCGTCTAATAAAAGGAAACAAAAAAACAAAAACACACACCCCCTCACTCAAACACACAAACAGAAGGAAAGATCTATCACTAATTGCCCACAAATAGCAACTTCTAATTGGATTTCTTAACATTTTCTCTCATCTACATACAAAAAAGAACACATATAGAACAAATCGAAAGACACATTCAATCAGTAAACCAAAAAAAAAGACACATTAAATTCAAAATTAAGAAATGAAACCAAAAAAGTTGAGAACTTACCGATTTTATCACAAAGAGGACCACCCTGATTGTAATTATACAACCATTAAGTGCTCATCTTCTCCGCTGCCCTTCCGATCTCTCTCTCTATACATTTATATATCTACATATATATATATATATATATTTATATATATCAGCAACTCACACACCCCCGAATCTCACACCTCCGAGCGCTCCCTCCCTCCCCAGTCTCTCACTCTATATTCTCTCTCACTCTCTCTCTTCCTTTTTTTTTTTTTTTTTTTTTTTTTTTTTCTTTCTTATTTTTTTGTTTCAACTCTCTCTCTCGCGTCTTTGATTTTCTGGTTTTATTCGGAGAGAGGAAATGAAATGAACGGAAAAAGAGGGTTGGGATGGTGGTGGGCCCAGGAACGGCTAATAGAAAGGAAGGGAAAGTAAAGGAGTGTTTGGATGAGTGAGAGAGTCGCCGTTTGGGTTCGAACGGAAACTGCTAACGGCCGTTAGTGCACGTGTTAACTCTTGGCCTTTTTATTCAGTCTTCACACGCGAAACGGTCTCTTTTTAACTTTCAGTTTCTCAAAAAGGCATTCCGTTCTCCGTACGCGTCCGTTCTTCCTCAATGTTCATGTATCTGTGGTAAAATTTCCGTGGCTTACAATAATTAGGTTGATATACATATATATATCTATATACACACATGTATATTTTATATTATACATTTACATTTTATTACTCGTGTGTCTTACTTTGTTGTTTAAATATTTTTAAGGGTGGTAAATTACATCCTTTCCTTATTGAATCTAACTTTTCCCGTCATCAAATCCATTGTTATTGTCATTTTATCTCATTTTACGCTTATTTTGATAAATTAACAATACTGATACAAGAGCTCAATGTTATTCTAAAATTATAAGAGAGTTTCTATTATTTAAACATTTGAAAAAAGAGGTAATTGTAAACCATAATTTCTATGAATTTGGCCCAATAGTTGAATTTTGACATTTTTTTTCCCCTCATTTCATTTTTTGTTACTCATTTCATTTTTTATATCTCCACGTGTAGTATTAATGTCACTTATATTATATCTAGTTGTTGTCTTCATAAACCTTCACAGATTGACACAAGCCTTTGCAGCTAATTCAAATTTAAAATCCTATTTGTAAATATTTCAAATACCAAAGGCAAATAGGTTATTTCATCTTGCTTTTTACAGGATTTTTTTGTTGTTATTCTTTTTACTTATATCTCCCAAAACCCTCTCCTATTGACTCTATCCATTCAAATATTTTAAATGTAAAAGACTATTATGATTTTTTCATCTTGTTTTTTCACAGGATTATTTTTTTTGTTACTCATTTCACTTCTTATATCTCCAAGTATCATACTCATGTCACTTATGTTATCTCCAGGTGTCGTCACAAAATTTTCTTCTATTGACATAACGTTCTGATGCTATTCAATTTTAGGATATTCTTTATAAATATTTTAAATGCAAAAGTCGAATAGGTTATATATATATATATATATATATATATATATATATATATATATTAGGAAAAGAAAAGAGCATGTGCCTTGCATGTGATGAAAAATTATAGTGATAAATATAAAATAAAATTAACAATATTTGCTACTACATATGCAAATTTGTTAAATGTTTCTTAAAAAAAAATGTTTGCTTTATTTATTATCATGTTGACGCAATAATGTGTTGGAACATAATGAAGTGCTCAAAAATTATAGTGATAAATATAAAATAAATTTAACAATATTTGTTACTACATATGCAAATTTGTTAAACGTCTCTAAAAAAAATGTTTCCTTTATTTATTATCATGTTAACACAATAATGTGTTGGAATATAATGAAGTGCTCAAAAATTATAGTGATAAATATAAAATAAAATTAACAATATTTGTTACTACATATGCAAATTTGTTAAACGTCTCTAAAAAAAATGTTTGCTTTATTTATTATCATGTTAACGCAATAATGTGTTGGAACATAATGAAGTGCTCAATCGCAAAACACAAAAATATAATAAAAATAAATCAAATCACATATCTCACATCCGTAAAAGAAAGAGATATATATAAATATATATGTGTGTGTATATATTGAGATCATAAACAACATGAGGACAAAAAGCATTGATAAAATGGCTACGTAAAATAAAAACACGAGCAATTGATATTAAATATAAAAAATAAATTAAATAATGCACGGTTTTTTTTTTTTTTTTTTTGTTGGAATTACCAAGTGATCACTCAGATTTTAAGAATTGAATAAGAGAAAAAATCGAGACCTAGTGTACTTTTGATGCCATGTAACAAAGAATCTTGCGGATTTAGCTCTTGAGCAATTTCAAAAGTTGTACTAGTGTAATTGTTAAAAAATGGGAAATTTAAAATATTATTCTTCCAAAAAAAAATAGAAAAGGGTAAATTACATTGATCTCTCATGAAGTTTGTCATAATTACATGAACCTCGTTTATGACTTTAAAAATTATTCTGGCGTCTCTTGAAAATAAAACTTTGTTACAAGAACCACCCTTTTGAATGATTATCGTAAATCAAAAACGTCGGAAATGACTGATGTTGTACAATATTAAATGATTAAATGCCAATATTGCTTTTATATAAAATGAAAAACCCATTTCAACCTTGGATAACGGTTAACTATAAAAGTCCAAACTTTGTATATACGACTATGTTATATATATATATATATATATATATATATATATATATATGTCTGTCTGTGTAAAACAAATGCTTAATTTCAAATCCTCGTTATACATTTATGAATATGTGATTTCCTTCTCACATTCGGCATCTAAAAGACGAGATCTAAATTAAGCGTAGCTTTGACAATCTTTGTCTCCACATATAGTCCCTATCGACTCTTTGTCAATCTATCCATCACAACCACCAAAGCATGCGTCGTGATCTTCGTATTCCTTATTAAAAGCGAAATGATAGGTGGGGAGGTAGAGCTTTAGTGGCGGAATTTGTTGGCGTTCAAGAGCTTAGAGTTACGTATATATGTACTCCGTATGTGTGTGTGTGTCTCTCTCTCTCTCTATATATATATGTAATTTGTAAAAACAAATATATCTTAAATGTTGGGATTATATTTAGGGTAAAATAAAATAAGTTGCCAAAGTACAAAAGTTGAATAAAAACCCTTGAACTATACATTTTTGTTACAGATTGCCCCATCAGGCGATGTGCCGACTGAATCTCGCCGTTAAAATATCATGTGAGACACACAATATAATTTTTGATGACTATAATGCCCTTATAAGTTTGAAAAGACTATCGCCCCCCTTACTCTTACCATGACACCTAAACACCTCTTTAACTTATTATTACACCCACACACACCTTTATTCCTTCTACCTATATACATACATACATACATATATATATATTGAGAGTGTATATCACTGTTCACCTTCTTCCCTTATCCTTTTTGCCTATATAGAAACATATATTTATAAATAGAGAGAGAGAGGATGTGTGTTAGAACATTGTTGATCTTCTTACGATCATTCAATTAAAAAAATAAAAATCTTACCGACCCAAACACACAACTCATCCTGCTGGCGACACAATCTGACGTGCCTCGTGTGAGCTCGCTTCATAAGGTCAATATGAATGTGGTTTTCGAATCTATGGAATGCCAATTTTACATTTATAAAACCACTACTACTATATAATATAGTGAGTAGGGATCGTCCATAGGGATTAGCGGCTTGATTCAATTTACAATTAGTGGTAAAATGAAGCAATAGAAAGAGAAGTTGTTTATCATCCTAAGTACTAACTAACTAAACTACATATGCAGAAAAAAAAAAAAAAAAAAAAAAAAAAAGAAAAAAAAAAGAAAAAGAAAAAAGAAGAAGAAGATAAGATGAAGGGATAACGGAATGGAGATAGAGAGACTAAGGTCATGGAATCAACTTTTGCCCTTTTAATTATACCATTGCAATCAAATTGGGGAAAATACTTGCGTAATAAGAAGATGGGGTATAACGGTCATATTAGAGGATACTTTCGAGATTAATTAAAAAGAATCAATCACATGCATCACAATATGGAAAGTAAGTAGTTGGAGGTAAAATGCAGGGGGGGCAAATTGTTCACTTTTGAAATTATATGGACTGACTTGCTCACTTTTATACCACAGGAGGGTATTGCGTTCACTTGGTGAAACTTCAAGGGATTTTTTGCACTTTTGCCTTCAAGATATTCTAATAGTTTAATGTTAGTATGTGAGGGTATTTAAGTAAAATCATACTAACCGTCAATCCCGTTAATGGCCCGTCACCTATGAGATTCGTGTAATAAGGTTTTGTTTTTTAGGAAAGTTAGAGTAATTTTTAAAGTCACAGATAGGGATGGCAATTTGACCCACCCCCGCGGTTACCCGCCCCACCCAGCCCCATTTTTGACCGTTTTGGGGGACCGTTTTGCTTATTTGGGCGGGGATAGTTTGATATAATAAAAATCCGCGCGGGTTTGGTGCTGGAGCGGGGGGAGGTCGCCTCGCACCGCCCCGCCCCATTTAAATAGCAAATTACTTAAATACTCTTATTTCATTAATATATGTATATTTCCCACTATATACTAAGTACCATATATAACAATATTAAAGTAACAAATGAATTTTATTAAAAGAAAAGTTACAATGGTGAAAAATTGAAGATGAGGGGGAAAAAAAAAAAAACGAGCAAATCTATTTCAACAATAAATAAATTGTGGTCTTAAACGGGGCGGGGTGGGTACCCGCGGGAGTAAAAATGTTAAAAGGTTACGAGAATGGGGTGGAAAGTTCCCTCATTTTTACGATTTTGTGTGGGGACGGAGGCGGAGTTTTTAAACGGTTGTAAGGGCGGGGGAGGGTAGACCCGCCCAAACTCGCCCTTGTTGCCATCCCTAGTCACAAAGAAGGTCTGTCTAGTTATGGCAAATCTTGAAAGATATAGTGTAATTTACTCAATGGTATATATATGTAAGAAAGAAATACCATCATTTAGTTCTCATTTATCTTTGGTTGTGTTATCTCCTGTACAATGCCAAAAAAAACAAATCCATGTTTCATTTCTCTCTGTAAAAATAGAAATAAGATTTCATGTTAGCTATTGTTCGGTCAAATCTCTTCCACTAACATCCGAACTTCATGTTAGCGTAGGCCTAGTGCATTCCAACCAAAGTTACTCCGATAATTGACACAGTAAAAACAAATTAATAGTATATTTTTTAGATCGCAAAGTGTTAATTTCATAGTTCTCACTCGTTATGTAAGGGGTGGCCAGTTATGTGTCTAAGCTTAGACCAGTTAAGCTTGACCACTAGTATAAA